ACAAAATGTCCTCATTCTTTTAACATTTTGTCCAAATTAACAGAAAAATTATCTTTTATATTTGACCAACAAATCATACAGATTATATGATTTTCTCAAAAGAATGAGACTTTTCTGTTTGGAAAAAAAATATGATTTTATTGAAATTTTTTCCAAAAATTTGAGATTTTTCTGTAGATTTTTCAAATAAAAAAAGAACATTCATATAAATAAAAATTAAATATCCTTATACCGTTTGTTTCTATTTTTCTTCGTAACTATTTAAGATGATAACAAATATCTAAACTTAACATCTTAATCAAATTTAAATTAATTTTAATAACACTTATCACCATTTAAAATATATAGGAGTATAGTAGAAACAAAAAATATAAGTATATTTAATTTCTGGAATTTAAAAAAAAAAATAGTGATCCGATATAAATACAAAGAAACATAACAAATAAAAAATAAATATTTGGAAAGATATTTTTGAAAAATCAATACAAAAACATAAAAAATGAGTTTTAATTGAAAATCGATTATATTAGAATTTCAAAAATGAATATAAATATTTTTGGAAAAATACTTGTTGTTAATGTGAAAAATAGACATGATATATTACTGAAATCCGAAAATACCTCTTTTCGAAAATACTGGTCACTTTCATAAATACATAAAAGTTAGATTATTTTCATATGGCTCAAAATTATGTAACATTTTTTGTGAATATCTTTATAATAAATTATGCTAAAAGTACTTTGTCTTATAAAAAAGTTGACGGATGATATTTTTTTAAATAAATCTTGATATATTTGCTAAAAATGAGAAAGAGGGTCGTGAAGTAGTTTCACTAATGATATTTTTTTAAATAGATATTGATATATTTGCTCAAAATGCTTCATGAAGCATATGAATATCTATAATCTCACTCCTTTTAAGCGTATCAAGTGTTCAATAATAGACATTATTGTTGGAAATAAGATCTAAAGAATAATAAAAAACAAAAGGAAAGCCTACATCATGATACTTAAAAGAGAAAAAAAAATTAATGAGTATAAAGTTTGGAAGAATATTTTATTATATTAAGGTGAAAAAATAATATTTTTTAGCACAAAGTACATAAAAACTACTATCTTTTATAGCTTTCCGATTTAAACAATTATTTTATTTCTTTTATTAAAGTTATTATATTTTGCAAGAAAAAACAATTATGGATATCGTATCTCCCTATAAGTTGGGCAATTTTCTACCTATAAAATACAACAAATAAATAAATATGGAAAATAAAATCCAACAAATATTGTCTCTAACAACTTTTTATAACAAAAAGTGAATCGCCTCTAACAAAAAAATAAAATAAATTCAAAAAGTTGTTATAGTGGTATAAAATCATAAAACATTGTTAAAATTAGAGTGCTATAGTAAAAGTAATGTCGCTTTACTGTAATAACTTGTTGAACCGATAATGAAAGGTTGTTTTCGTTGCAATACAATTTTTTCAAAATATGATGACTTTAACTCTTTAAGGTATTTGGTGTACGGCTGGAATGAATGTATAAGAGCTTACAATCGTAAAACTAGCCAACTATAGTCGTTTTTATATACATTGCCCTATTTGTATTATTTTTTTACAATGAGTGAATGTATTTTTTGCACAATATTAAGATATGCATATTTTTCAAAACTAAGTTATTAGATGTGATGTAAAATTATCAATCACCCAATTTATACGAGAGGTGTTTGAAAAGGAGTTTCTCTCCCGAGAAAATTGAGGGTTGAAATCTCATGATGGACAGATGTATAGTTTAGGAGTAAGATTTGAAAGGATGTATATCTATTTAAAGAAGAAACTCAGCTTATATATTTTGTAGCCCGATCTTTAACTCCATTATACATTTTGAGCATAGTTTTTTTTTCTTTAGAAAAACAAAGTGATTTTCCTCAAGACTAACTTGACAAGAAAACATTTCTATCAGATGCTAGTTCACCGAAAACTGACTATATAATAGCATGTTATTCACGACTTCAGATACATGATAACTAGATTGGAATCTAGAGATGAAGAGAGAAACAAAGAATGTTGCTATAATGTAAATGAAAAAATTTGAGAGTAATCATTACAAACCTTTGAGATCATTCATTTTAAACAAAGAAAAAGAAAATATAATAAATCTTCCTTTTGTATACATCGATCCTAATATCAAGAAATGTAATTTAGAAATAGATAAGAATATTAATAAATTTAACTAGAGAATAAATTTGAAATAAGGCGTTGATTAACACTAATCGCTCTCATACCCAGACCGAGTATTGAATAAGATTACAAGGTATTATATATAGACATGCACCGTAAGGTGCGGTGCTGATGGCATACCTATTTAACCGTATTAGGAACACCACACCTAGGTTAGGTGAGGGTGAAATGTTACCCCGCACTTTCCCGATCATTGCACTCTCTCTATTTATTTTTATTTTTTCAATTTGACCATTTGGGTTTTAAAGAGTAAAGAAAAAATGAGATGACGCTGATCTGACAAAGGAAAAGTAAAAGGTGAAATGAAGGTACTCTCTCGTCAAGTGGGGTGTATGGACCTCACTCAAAAGTGGGTATTGCCTTATATTTTACAAATTTTTGTTTTTAATGAATGTGATCCCCATTTGTGAGAGATATTGGTAGTTGGTCGTTGAAGGAAGCACATGGTGATACAATCATATCCACATGAGCCATATCCACATGTACTAGTCTATCCCAAGGGTAGAAGAACTATGTAAATATTGGTAAAAGTGATTTCGTTTCGACAAAAACTATTTTTAAAAGTAAAGATTCAGCAAAGCAATATTTAAACTAGAATGACTAAACAAGTAAACGCGAAATATCAATGAAAAAATGTTTCTTTTGAAAGGTGAGTAGTAGAGTTTTTATAACCTGGTGTGATTTCTTGGGTATTTATATTGCTACACCCCATATTATGCTTAGAAGTTTATATGTTATTATGCGTTGGGTAAAATGCTAAAGTGACAAAATCTACCTCTACATAATTGGGTATTTATATTTCAAATCTCATGTGGTCAATGTGATGCAACTTTAGGGTCTGCTTCAAAATGCTCACAACAGGTAAAACAAAATCAACAAGGGTAAACATGTAATTGTTAACCTTTTTGTACAATTTTCACTTTACTCTCATGAAAAGTTGTGATTTTTCAGGTATCAAACATGATGCCGTTTTTTTCTAAAAACTAAAGGTGATATCAAAAGGTAAGAAGATAAAAATACGATTATGCACAATTGAGAGAAAGAAACGAGAAACAACAAAGCATATCAAATTGAGATTTGAGCTTTGTAACTCAATAGTGTAATCAAGAACTCTGTGTTTATTATTAAGATTCAATCAGTAGTGTACAAAACAACAAACATATAAAAAAACAAAAGGATTGACCTTTGTAACTCAATAATGTATTGTAATCAACCAAATTCATTTATTCTGGAGTTGCAGGATTGCACGAGTTCATGAAAACTAAAACCTGAATATCCTCATCTGATTTGATATCTGTGCTTTCAAATCATACATTAAATCCCTCAGAACGAAGGCACAAACGATGAGCTTCAATCCATTTTGAGCAAGCTGATTCACCATGCTCCACAACACATTCGTCCCTGAGCTTCTTAGTGTCAGGGCAAGCACAGCAGATTTTCTTCTTTGGCTTTGACTCAGGTCCTGTGGTAGCATCTTTTGGTGCTTTTGTTAATCTTAATGTAGAAGTGAAGTCTTGTGTCTGTAATCCACTCATGGTTACGAGTTCCTGAATCATAACATATATGTGAACAAATCAAGATTACTTACAAGTTACAAGTTACAATCGCATCATGTAGATACATAATATGTTCATGATCAAAATCGTATTCATTTCCTAACGAAACAATATCAATTAACCAATCTTCTGTGAATCGTCAAGAACAAGCTGATGGAGTAATCAAAGAAAAAGTACCTAAAACCCTACAAAAACCCTAACGCATTGCGAAACAAATGATTACCAGATCACTAAAATGTATTGATCGATTCTATACATTTCTTAAACCCGGGAACCAATAACTTTGATTCCTTGTTTAACCCTAATCGGAATTTTTAGATTACGAAAGAACTTAACAGAAATCGAAAAATCCATTACGCGTACCTTTACTGAATCAGAGAATTGAAGGGATTATGGAGACTGGTGGGAAGAAGAGAGTTGTAAGAGGCGATTTGAGAGTCGTAATTTCAGAGCTGTATAACGTGTTGCGTTTGTCCGCCGCGAAAGAAGAAAGTACGAATGAAATCACGTGCGGCGCACACCATTATAAATTGTACATCGTGTTCGTCGATTAAAGTCTGCAACTTTGTAATTTGTACTACCCATCAAGGGATTAATTAAAAGATGGTCAATATCTTTCATCCTTCAATTCTGAGAAGAAATTTAAATTTAGATAAAACTTCAAAAATGGTCATGTGATTTTTGAAAATATCAATTTTAATCTCTAAGTTTAAAAAACCTCACAAATCATTCATATGGTTTCAAAACTTTTAACATTTGGTCCTTCCGGCTCACTCTGCTACCATTTAGCCGTTAAGTCATGAGCATTTTTGTCATTTCATTACCCGGGGACCATTTATGAGGTTTTCTATTACTTTAATATATATATATATATATATATATATATATATACATGCAAGGGGTCCCACCCCATCTCTCTCTTTCTCTCTCTCTATCTCTCTCTCTCTCTCTCTCCAAATCAAACCCACCTCTGTTTTGTGACTGTCGGCTTCCCCTTTTGCTTCTACTATCTTCTCCCCTTTCTTGATTAAGCTTTTTGACAGCAACAACAAGACGAGTTCCAGGATTAGTAGTCTCATCGATCCAACCCTTGAAAACCGATTCCAAATCGTCTTCTCCCAGACACGATAAGTTTCTTTCGGATATCAAGTGTTGTAATCGCTGGTGACGACTGAAGGAGTGATAATAACTCCGGTGAGGAGCTAAAGATGTTGACGCTTGAATTCCTCATTGAGGAAGCGAATGGCCTGAGAAAGTATCTTGGATTGTACCTGTTTAATTTCGATATGATTAGAGATGGTGAAGGAGATGGGTATCTGGTGATTAATATGAATTACTTCCCTGGTTACGAGAAATTGCCTTCTTATGAAACTGTCATGATTGATTTCTTCTTGAATGTAATGAAATTACAGGAGTTGGAAAAGATGAAAAAGAAGGAGATCGACAACAGGTGGAAATTTGGTAATCAAAAGTAGATCTGATAATGAAGTTAATGAAGTACATCTGATAAAGAAGGTGTCTTATAGGGGGAGGGGGTGTTTTTAGTTATAGAAACACACTGAAGAATCGGTTATGAATCTGATCGATTCCAGGAAGAAAGATTCAAAAGCAGTCGGGTTTTATGCTATTAAAATGGGTTATGAATCGAGTGAAGAAAGCCAACATGTTACAGTAGGAAATTGGAGGCGAGATTGGAATTATTCACTGTGGAGTATACACTTCTCATCATTTCAGCAGATCAATCGAAACTAGCACCAAAAAGCACAAGAACATCATCATACAGACATCTAGCTACAAGTGAATAAAGAAAGGAACTTGATTTCTTTTGTGTTTATTTTTCATTCTTCAAGGGATGTTGATTATTACCGAATAATGGGGATGTAATTATCGGGCTTAACATGATCTGGTGTAACGACCGAAAAGTCCAACTAATTTAAATTTTTCAAAAACAATCATATTTCATTAAATTATTACAAAAAGGTTTTCAATACATTATTTATCAGAATATTCTCAGGTCCATTTCATAAAACATAAACGCGAGGGACGGTACGATCACGCCTTTGCCTTGCCACAGTCTCCCGAAGAACCTGAAAAACATTAAACCACAACTGTAAGCCCGAAAGCTTAGTGAGATACCCCCAAAATACCAACCACATATACGCCCTTCCAGGCTATGACCTTCCAGTCCAAAACATATTGCCTTCCGGTCCATAACATATTGTCTTCCGACCCATAGCATAAAAAGCATACATAACATAACAGAACATAGAACATCCATTCATATCGGGTCTACTGTGTGACTGGTCCGCCGTATCGGGCCTTCAGTCCACCGGATCCACCCTCCGAGTCTAGTCATGTCCTTCGAGTCTACAGTGTGGTTGGTCCGCCCGCACCGGGCCTTCAACCCACCTGGTCCACTCTCTGAGTCTACAGTGTGACTGGTCCGCCCGCATCGAGCCTTCAGTCGGCTTGGTCCACTCCTCCGAGCCTCGACACGTCTGGTCCGCCCTCGTGGGGCCTACAGCCTATTCGGACCGCTCGTTGGGCCTTCGGAATAACCGGTCTGCCTTGGGTATCTTGGCCTACAGCATAAAGCAGGCGGGTCAGGACCCGCCTCAACCCATCTCCAGTCCAAACAACCATGTGCACATAACATACATTCATATAACAGTCATAGTCAACAAACCGAGCAAGCAGATCACATAGCATATCATTACCCTAACCAGGTTACCGACCTAACCGGTCACTAGCATAGCATCACTCTACATATCGGGAAACTGACCTTAACCAGGTCTCCAGCATATACCATCCTAGCTACCAGGATGCAGACATATCAAACAATAACATAATAATCATATATGAATCTCAATCCAATAAAGGGCCGGCCTTGGTGCCTTAGACCTTGTTGATATAGTGAGGATAACTCACCTCGAAACTGCCGGCTGAAAGGATAAGATCCCGCTGCTTCGAACTCCGACACGAACTCCTCCACTGAACACCAAAACACTCAACTCAATATATACCCTTATTTTCCAAAATACCCCTGGAAGACAACTGGTCAACCCTTGGACAAGGTCAAAGTCGACCCCTGACTGACTCTACTCGCCGAGTCAACCCTATGACTCACCGAGTCCCCAAGTTCAGAACTTCCCTCAATCCGCGACCTGACTCGCCGAGTCACCCCGAGACTCGCCGAGTCCAACCACTCTGAGTCTACTCGCACCCAACTCACTGAGTCATCCCTTGACTCACCGATTCTCGACTCAACCAGAAAATATTGGGACTCTTCGACAAGACTCGCCGAGTTTAAGGCTATCTTCAACCTACTCGCCGAGTTGTTCATCCAACTCGCCGAGTTCCAGCTCATCTTCAAGCAACTCGTCGAGTCCACCCTTGTGACTCGCCAAGTACCACCGGTCTGAATCCATACAGAAGCATCCCAGGCCATGCAATTGATCCAAAACATAGATCTAGCCTCCTACAACCCATCCATCACGTAAAGTGGCAAACTTTACGTGAATCCATGAAGATCTAGGCATAATACACATTAGGGCTAAGGTTTGGGACAAGATAGCTTCACTACATACTCAATCACAGGGACTTTCAGACATTCCAACCCTTCTCTATTCCAGATCTGAGGTAGCAACCTCATATCTAACCTCTAGACTCCAAAACACCAATAGATGTGATCTCAACACCTCCAAACGTGAAGAATCTAGACAATAGCAGCTCAAGAACGAGATATTACCTTCAAAGAATGCCCCAATAGCAATGAAACTCGAATCCAAGCAAAACCCTTTGATCCAAGTCTTTTCTTCTTCAAGATTTCTTCAACTAGCACTTCTCCAAGCTCCAATTTGCCCAACAATGTTGTTCCTCCACGAAATTAGGATTTCTGGGGCTCAAGGGGAATCAAAGAGGTTGGGGAGGAAACATAATGTTCTTTATATAGAGCTCAACCCCGAGAATTAGGGTTTTTCTCCACTCAGCACCTACTCGCCGAGTCCATCTTTGGACTCGCCGAGTAGGCCACTTGACACGCGACCAAAGTTGCGACCCTACTCGCCGAGTCCATCCATGGACTCGCCGAGTTGCCCTCCAAAACTTACACTTTTAGCCCTTCAACTCTACTCTTGTTATTCCGGGATGTTACATATGGCACTTGATCATGTATTGGAGAGAGAGAGAGAGAGAGAGGGAGAGATGGGATGGGACCCCTTGCATATTAAATTTTATTTATTTATTTTAAAGTAATAGAAAACCTCATAAATGGTCCCTGGGTAATGAAATGACAAAAATGCCCCTGACTTAACGGCTAAATGGTAACGGAGTGAGCCGGAAGGACCAAATGTTAAAAGTTTTGAAACCACAGGGATGATCTGTGAGGTTTTTTTAACTTAGGGACTAAACTTGATATTTTCGAAAACCACATGGACCATTTTGAAGTTTTGTCTTAAATTTATTTCGAATAAGTTTCGGTTATGATTACTGATAATGATAATTAATTGTATTTTTATATTGAAAATTATATAAAATCATGTTTAATTAATAATTTATTGAAAAAATTATTACTAATTATAATTTTTTCTATAAAATTTTAATTATTTTTGTAACCATGGTTTATACGTGCTATAATATAGTTAATCATTAAATAGATCAAGAATAAAGAAAGAAAAAATTTGAAATAGATTATATTTTTTTAAATTAAAGTTTGTTATATATATATATATATATATATATATATATATATATATATATATATATATATATATATATATATATATATATATATATATATTTGTTATTTTAAATTGATTTTTTAATTTTATTTTGTTATCTTTTATTATCATTTAGATTATTATTATTGTTACTATAGTTATAAAATTTTATCACTTGGACTAGATATCGTATAACACCCGAAATCAGAAAGGCCAAGAAAGGAAAGTAAAGTTATAAATTAAAGAGGGTCGACTCGTCGAGTCCAGGGAGGAACTCGGCGAGTTGGAGCGGGATCCGGGTGTAAAGTAAGTGACCGACTCGGTGAGTCAGCAAGTGGACTCGGCGAGTCTGGTTTGGGTTGGGAAACCCTAATTTCGGGACTTGGTACCCTATTTAAGCATCTTATTCTCTTCCCTAGGGCTCATTTGCGGCCCCTATAGTCCAGAACCCCAAACCCTAGGCATCATAACCGTTTTTGGAGTAAGATCTACCCTTGGTGAAGTAATTTGGAGCTTAGATGAGAAGAGATTCATAGTGGTGCAAGAGGAGGCCTTGGATCCAGAGTTGGTGGAACTTTTTAGAGCATTTGGAGGTAATGAATCGTTATCCTTGGCTTTCTCCTTTCTAGATCCATCTTTCATGGAGTTTTAGGGTTTATTTGAGAGTATGTGATGAGAAATTGGTGCACAAGTTAGATCTGGAGTTGAAACTCTAGATTTGAGCTCTATTTGGACCAAAGATGCAGAAAACACTGTTAGTTGCTATGTAAAAGCCATTCCCCATGAGTTAAGTTCCTTTACAACTTGGTTTTTGGTATTATGAGACAAGAAGCACGTAAAGGTAGAAACTTTATGTTGCTAATGGACTCTAGGAACCCAGATCTATTGTTTGGAGCAAAGGAGTAGCTCTGTGACTCGAGATTATGAGAATACACATAAGGACTCGACAAGTATGGGAGAGGACTCGGCGAGTCGGGCTAGATACCAGACTTAAATCGCGTAGTAACTCGGCGAGTCACATGGGTGGACTCGACGAGTTGGATGAAGATAGGCGGGAACTCGACAAGTTGGAAAAATAACTCGGCGAGTCTGTTGAAAATTGCCTTGGACTCGGCGAGTCAAGTCGCGAAATCCCAAACCCATCGAGTTAAAACTCGGGTCAGCGAGTTGTGTGGGGACTCAGTGAGTTGGACAGGATAGGACTCGGAAATCGGTAGACTCGACGAGTTAGGGGCTGACTCGGCGAGTCGAGTCGCGAATGAAAGGATTCTGAGCGTATGAACTCGGCGATTCGGTAGACAACTCGGCGAGTAGGGTTGACCTGGAAGGTTGACTTTGACCAGGACTTTAACTTTAACAGGAGTTGATTTAGTTGACTTTTGGAGGACTATCAGACTAAGTGTTATTTTGATATTGGTAGCTCGGAGAGCTAGAGGAGCAGCGCCTCAGAGGGTTGTCGGTTAGCAGCCAGAGGGTTATCAGCAGAGCTCAGCAGTTCAGGTGAGTTTCTTTCCAGTAGGAACGAGTCTCAAGCCACAATGCCGACCCGTTTAAGTGAGCAGTAGTTTACGGACTTCAGTCCAATGCAGTAGTTAGTATGTTCGATGCCTTCGTGGCTCAAATAGGATTTATGTGTTATGTGTTCCGAGCTACGGCCCAATGCAATATGCAGTATATGTGTTCATGCTAGTTGATATGTTATGATATGCTATGTTCAGTCGGTTCTGAACTTCGGTCCGATGCAGTTAGTTCGGACTTCGATCCGATGCAGGGGATAAGGTCCCAGTCAGTTTCGGACTTCGGTCTGATGCAGGGGGCAAGGCCCCAGTTAGTCCGGACTTCGGTCCGATGCAGGGGACAATGTCCCAGTCAGTTCCGGACTTCGGTCCGATGCAGGGGGTAAGGCCCCAGTTAGTGCGAACCTCGGTCCGATGTAGTGGGCAAGGCCCAGTATGTGCTTTATATGCTATTGTATGGTATGTGGTAGCTTGGGGGAGCTCACTAAGCTTCGTGCTTACGGTTTCAGTTTTTGGT